ACTTTTATCTTGAGTGGTCCCTTCTCCAGGAAGTCTTCCCTGATATAGCACACTGAAATACATGCTCCCTTCATTTCCATAGTTAATCTGTAACACTCCCCTTGTCTCTTTGTTTACTGACGTTGTGTGTATGTGTGTACAAGTATTCAAGAAACTTCGAACAAACATGTGAGCCCATGCACCCTGAATACTTACACGCATGTGACATACTTACACATAGTTGGCCCTCCATATCTGTGGATTCCACAGTATGGATTCTGCCAACCACAGATAAAAAATTTTCAGAAATAAATTAAATGAAAAATATACAGAATAATGAGGATTTGCATAGCACTTCCATTGTATTAGGTATGACAAGTAACAAAGAGCTGATGCAAAGGAGGGTTTGCATAAGTTACACTCACTTTACGTCAGGGACTCGAGCATCCACAGACTGTGTTCTCTTTGGGGAGTGCTGGGATCCCCCACGGATACCGAGAGACGACTGCATGGACATCGGTACCGTCATGGGCCCACGTTAGCATTCAACGGTCTTGAAACGGCTCCCCCTTTTCCAAGGCAGAGCTGGTGAGTGTATGACCCTTTGTCATAAGGGCACCACTCACACTGGATGAGGCTCCACCCTCATGACCTCAGTTCTAACTTGACGACCTCCACAAAGTCCGTGTCTCTAAATGAGGTCCCTTTCAGAGGTACTGGGGGTTGGTAGAACTTCAACGTATCTTGGTTTTTTTTTTTGTTTTTCTTTTTTGGCAGGACAAGGGGGCATGCAATTCAATCCATAACAGCTGGTAAGAGCTGTCCCCCAGAAGGGGGGATCTCAGGTCTGACCATCCTCAACCAGAGGCTATGGGTAGAAGTGGGAAGGAGAGAGAAGTGGGACAGGAGGGAAATATACACGGCCCTGTCTGGATGACTTGGCCATCTCCTGATTCTCTGATGGGTAAGTCAGTAGAACAGTTCTCTTTGGCACAGGTACATACTTCCATTTGGTGAGTCCATAGGAAAATGTCATATATGTATGTATGTGTGTGTGTGCTTCTTTCGTGAGAGAGGGGGAGAGAAAAAGGGAGAGGCATCTCCAAAAGGATCTGCCTCCAACCAACCTCAGCCAACTTGTGCCATAAAGCTGCACACGCACCCAGTACGCACAAGGACACGAACCCCCAACCTTTCCATGTGTGTCCAGCACTATGGAGCGCTGTGTTATCATGCACCACCATCTAGCCCAGGTAAATTCCATTTGAGGAACACCCATCACCAGCCTGCCACTCACAGGAGGCGCCCCAGCTCAGTGGAGAGAGCTGGGACCTCTGTGAGAGATGAGCGCTGGCACATGGGAGGGCAGCGCCCGCAAGCCCACTGACACTGGGACGTGGGGTCAGCGGGGTGTAAGACCCAGGCTCATGTGCTAGGCTCCCCCAAAGCTTCCAACAGTAGAACACTTGGAGACTTAGAATCTTGCACAAGTCATTTCCCTCACCCGGTCTCCGCTTTCTCACCTTGGCACGGGAATGATAATGATTAGGATGTAATGACACGCTGGGAAGGGAGGATACAGCGTATCGTGCTGGTGTCCTAGAGCTGCGATAGCCGAGTGCCACAGCCTGAATGGCTTAAACCACACAAATGTATTTCCTCATAGTTCTGGAGGCTGGAAGCCTGAAATCAACTCGGGGGTAGTGTCTCCTGAGTCTTCTCGGCTTGCAGATGGCCGCCTCCTCACTGTGTCCCCACATGATCTTTTCTCTGTGTGTGTGTGTGGGGGGGGGTGCACCTCTGGAGTCTCCAAACTTTCTCTTCTTAGAAGGACACCAGTCAGAATGAATGAGGGCCCAATTCAAGGGCCTCATTTTAGTGCAGTCCCCTCCTTAAAGGCCTCATCTCCAACGACATCCGCAAGTACTAGGGGTTAAGGACTTGAACAGATGAAATTTAGCTCCTAACACATGCTATGGAAAGTAAGTGGTGGTTTAATTTGTTAATAATGGTAATTATTATTCATGCAGCAAGCAGATAAACATGTCCGAAGTTCCTGGCGCGATCCCCAAACAAAAGCAATTATGGAAGTCAGGAATAGATCCACACTGTTCCTGGCACTGGAGTTTCATGGGCATTTCGGGGCGCAGAATCCGTGAGCTGCTCTGTGTGTGCCAGCAGTGCGGCTCAGCCAATATTCACCAAGCACCTCCCGAGTGCTGGGGACTGTTCCCCGTGCTGAGGATCCGGCAGGAAACAGCCAAAGCCACCTAGCTTTCGTGCAGGAACTGTCCTCGCTGGGGAGACAGACAATAAGAAAATAAATATACGGTCAGAGAGCAAGAAGTACTATAAAGAAAGATACAGATGGAATTACCTTGTGAGTGCCCTGTTAAACATTTATAGGACATTTATTTTATGAAGTACATGTTTGCAAAGGACATCTGTCATTACTCTTCAGGAATGTGTAAGTGCCATATCCAGAAAGGTTAAACGCCGAGTAACAACAGCAAAGCTTTCCTCGTTGTCCAGTAGTGAATAGAAATCCTGAAGATGCTCATTGAAAGTCAGTTGAGAGGGGTCAGCAGGTGGCGTCGTGGTTAAAATGCTGGACTCTCACATGGAAGACCACAGTTTGAATCCCGGACCTGGTGGTTTGCTTTCTCGCTCTCTTTCTCTCTGTCTCTCTCTGGTGAGCACATAAGCCCTATAGCAAATTTTTAAAATAATGATAAAGAAAGAAAAAAAAGCTGATTGAGGAATCTGGATGGTGCCAGGCATGTGTGTGCCCATGAACATGCCAGGCATGTGTGTGCCCGTGATTCTGGGCTGGCTGAAGCAGGGGCTGGATTGTGGCATCAGGACTGTGTTGGGGTGCTGTCTCTGTCTCTGTATCTCTCCTGATCATGGAAGAAATAGAACTTTTAGGAACAGTTAAACATTCTAGAAAATGACTGCCACCCTTCTGCCTCTCAGACTGCCCAACCCAACCCAGCCTGAAGGAGAAGGTACTAACTCGGCCTGATCCTCTTCCCTGTGAGCCAACTCCGGAAACTCCACAGTGAGCTCTGGTGACATGCAGGCAGCGAGTCTGGCCCATACAGGCAGTAAGTGCCATCCAAGCCTTTGCTTTCACCCCTTCTGCTACCTGCGAGAGCAAAATGACTTATCCCCCGGACTCTGCCACTCATACCCCAGATGTGTCATTCATTCCCTGTGTGACCTTTGAGTTCAGGTTTGTTTTGTTTTGTTTTGTTTTGTTTTAGGAGAGAGTTTTGCTATAGGACACATGTGCTCGCCAGAAAGACAGCCAGAAAGCAAGAAATCATCCCCCAGGAGGGATGCCACGCCACAATCCCTTCTCCTCCATTCTCCTCTTGGGATCTTGGGCACGAATGCACACATGCCCGGAGTGAGTTTAAGCCACCGGGTCCAGAACTGGAACCACGGTCAACTACAAGGCAGTCCAGTGACGTAGCCAACTGCTGGTCCCAAGTTCAGTTCTTTCTAGACTCTCCTTTATTCATCTGTAAGATGGGTCTAGAACAAGTACCCAACCCAATGGCCTCATAAGGAAGTGGATGCCCACAATGCACTTAGCAGTCAGCCAACAGCAAACATAGCATCATTGTCCTTTGGGCTCAGAAGCACTGTTCCCTGACACCCATGTCTGAGGTTCCCCTGGTTGGCAGTGCCCTGCCATGGCTTCTCTGCTAACAACCAAAGCTACTCAAAGGAGAGGGTGTTGATGCCTTGGACTCAGGTGGGTTAAGTGACTTCTCCAAATGTTTCTTCTTGTTACCAGGTGCACTCAGCAAAAAGAGACAGAGAGATAGAGAGAAGGATAGGAAGAAGCCCCCCCATTGGGGAATGGTCACACTGCAATCCCCTCTTCGCCACCTCTCCCTCTTTTCAGGATTTTGGACACACATGCACACAAGCCTGGCTTGGTTTTCAAACCACCAAGTCCTGAATTCAAACCGTACAACTGGCCATGTGGGATCAACAGGCCAAAGAGCTGCCTCAAGACCATTTTTAACAGAACATCCATGTCTTAAAGAACTCTAGATAGCAAAACCTCAAGGAAATTTTACAGGTGAGGAAAATGAGGCTCAGAGGAAAACGATTTTTGTCCAAAAGACAGAGGCAAGTTCAGACTCAACATTCATTCAACACATAGTTATTATTTTTGTGAACATCTAATCATTATACGTCTTTGTGGGAGTACAATGTGAGTTTACAGCATGAGAATGCGACATGCCATGATTCATTCAGGGCCATCGGCATACCTGTCACCTCAATCATTTCTCATCACTTGTGTTGGAGACATTCAAAATCTCCCCTGGGCTGGCTCCAGGGTGCAACAGTAATGCGCTGTTCAAGAGAATCTGGATCTCACGTGGTGACCATGGTTCGAATCCCTGGCCCAGTTGCGACCACCATAGGAAAACCTGAGAATGCCCTGCCTTTGTGAAGCTTACGGTTTCCTGGGGAAAACAGGTCATATATGAGAGGAGTCTTCAAAAAGTTCATGCGTGTTATCAAAAAAAATAATGTGGATTTCAAAGTAGTTGAACACTCAAATAAGCTCATACTTGAATTCCATTTTCCCGCAAACATCTTGAAGTCCCCTCATGCTTGGAGACCTATACATTGGCCATCTCTCTGCCACCTGCTGTCCCACCAGTAGTCCACCAACTGTAGGTCATTCTCCTGCGCTTGCTCAATCCCAGACCTACCCAGAGGGCCACTCCAGGCCAACACAGACCCAGCCCTGTTCCAAGGCCTCTGGCTC